ATAAAGTCCAGATAATTTACTTATTCCAATATTAGAAAAGTCATACTTGTACAAGGAGTCTGTGCTGACATTTCCATGCAGAGACTGAATATTTACACCTTTACAATGATTTTTCTATGCAAACTATAGTGGGAGGCGACCATGGTTTAGACTTAGTGCCTCTTTGTTGGTGCACAGGTCAGCCAGGCTTCTTGGCACGTTGCACAGTCCAATCAGACTCCATCCAGGGTGTTATCTAGCTACCAAGTCATGACATCATCCATATCAGTAGTTCTTGTCCTATTTAGTTAATTGATTAGACGAATACCTTGTACATGAACTGAAACTATCTCTGCATCCCTCAGCTGTAATCTAGTCCCTGTTTTCTGGGTCATTGTATAGTGAGTTCTAATAGTACAATAATAAAATATCACAGTACATCAATAACTGTATAAGCAGCACATCAGTTACATCATTGCAGTAGTTATACACATAAGTGTGAGTGGAGCCTATACAGGACACGCTCCGCTGTTTTTTGTTTTGTTTTTTTTTTACTCCATACACCTTCACTAGAATCATTTGGATAATTTCAGCTCTGGAATTGTCAATCTCTACTGAACTAAAGGTAAAAGGAGCTGTTAACTTTAAAACTATCTTTTCATGACATCAGAAGGTGGAACAGAGCATTTTGAGCTTTGTGGATGTAGAGAGACTAAAACAGGATTACTCAAACCTGTTAAAACAAAATAAAACAAAATACAACTCCAGATATGTTTTTGCATACCTGCAATATAAAATGGTTTAAAGTTCAAAATGTTGTGTAATATAGAGCCTTTAAATGAACAATATACAAGATCTGTATTATAAATTCCATAAATATGACCTGTCTGTGTCCCCAGATACGAGGTTGACGTCAAATCATATCAAATGGAGCTTTTACAGGTCACAGTTGTCATGCTGATTTATTCTTAAAGAGGAACTAAACAGTAAATCCACTTTTTTTTCGCTACTAAATATGGCGTTTGAATTGCACAAGTTACTGTTTCTAGTCATTTTTGTCAACTTTAGTGCAATCAAGGTACATTTGAAGCTTTAATGTTTGAAGTTTGAAGAGAGTGTGCTTCTTCCAGTGGCCACTTTACTTTCAAGTACTATGTGACATCACACAGGACTGCGCTGATTACAGCCAGGTGCCAGTCAGCAGGCTTGTTTCTATTTATTAAGTTGTTTTAGATGAATATTCTGATTTAAAATGTCCAAATTACAACATAATGATCCATGGGTGTCATAGATTAGAACTAGACAAGCACAATATGTCTTCTTTACTGTGTAAGTTTTCTTGTGGAGGATCTGCCATCTGCTTGTCTCACGGTGATGTCACTGCTTTGCCTGAAATGTTCCACATTCAGGAACATTAAACATGGCATTAAACAAAAACTTTTTTTTTTTTTTTTTTTTAATTCATTTACAGGTGGTTTTATTTGTCAAAACTACCCCTAAAACATGCACTCTTACTGTAAGGGGGTCTCCTTCTCCACAGATCTGACCTGTAACTTGGCCTGGTGATGTAGCCTGCTCATCTCTATGGAGACAGTTGAATTAAATGCCATACTGTAGGACAGGGGATCTCCAACCTGTAGCTTGTCATGCTGATTTATTCTTAAAGAGGAACTACACACTTTTTTCACTACTAAATATGGCGTTTGAATTGCACAAGTTACTGTTTCTAGTCATTTTTGTCAACTTTAGTGCAATCAAGGTACATTTAAAGCTTTAAATTTCTACTTTACTGTAAGGGTGTCTCCTTCTCTGCAGATCTGACCTGTAACATGTCCTGCTCATCTCTATGGAGACAGTAGCTACTAGTAGCTCTCCGCCCTCTTCCAACTATCTCGCCAAGGGATTTCAGAACTACACTTATTGTGCAGAACAAGTCAAATTTGATGAATTAAATGCATATTATTATTAATTTAAATCTATCATTCATAAATAAATAATGTTTTATGTTTTTTCTAACTGTACCCCATTTAAATCTTGCCATAGCTCTTATGTATACTTTATTTCCAAACAATTTCCTTGCAAATTTTCATTTTGTAACGTAGCTCACTCGAGGAAAAATGTTGGCAACGCCTGCTATAGGACATTCCAAGAAAAAAAGACAATTCAATCTATACAGAGTCAAGCAGGTGGCAGATCTTCTACCAACAAAGTTACACAGTGCACTTTTAAGGACAGGTCTAAGCACTAGCTCTGTCTTGTGGTGCCTGGATGTAAAATAAAAGTACAACAAAACTCCTTTTTCTTACAATAGAAACATTTATAGGAAAGTGTGTGTTTTCCAGGCAACAGCATTAGCTCCAGACTCTTACAGAAACAGTGGGAGTAGCAGAGTGCCTGTTGACAGTAAATCCATAAAGTCAGATGCCCTGTCGGTCGCACTAATGCTGTGTCCTCAGGCTCGGCATTACTGCACCCGACAAGTAACCGGGCTCACGGGAATTCTGCAAAAACTCAAAGTGCAACTGAACAAAGAACAAGAAAAAACATAATAGTGATAATCCTGTATAATCTGCTTGTCCCTGTGGAGATGATGAGGCTCTGCCCGGAATGTTCCACTGTGTTAAACTTTCTATCTCGGTGGACAAGCAGATGATGGGATAGTTACAGGTCAGGTCTGCGGTGAGAGGAACCTGCTTGCATAAGATAATAAAATCTGCCCTGTATCAATGCAGTAATATGAAGTGTAAATATGTAAAAGGGTTTGGATGTGTTGACGGAGACTGAAAGGGACTAGTTTTATTTATTGATTGACTGGATGAATTATTGCGTCAATATACATTGTAGTTTATTTTATTGGCATGTTTGCCATTTATGACATCAACCTGTCCCGGGACTTATAGGTGTGTTTCAGCTGACGTCATTGTTATTAAAAGCCCGTGTTGCATGCTGGGAAATATTTTGGTTGGAGGCAAGAAACACGATAGCGTCAAACACAGTGTGTAACCTCGCGTATTTATCCTCGATGATGGTAAATTCCTGCTGCATTATCGGATGCACAAATAGAAGCACGGAAGAAGGAAAATGTCTTTTTCGTATTCTGAGTGAAAAGAACCACTAACGGTGAATTAAATGACTTTCAAACATCCTCAGAGCAAACGTAGAAGATCCTAACAAACCGTGGACTCCAACAAGTTCAACAACACATCGAGACTCTTGGAGGTTTTCATCTTTTCTGCTGTGAATGGCCCAGGAGTTTCCACCAAGTCATTGTGGATTTCGCCAAAGTGAATATTTGTCCAGGTAGTTGGCGATTCTGACCAGAAATTTGGTTTGTTCCACCTTTTGTCGGGGTTGAAAAGGGTGATTTGGCGTCCATCGATGCTTATGACCAATTTCTGGTCAAATGGTCTTGGGTCCTCTGCCTGTTAGAGTGGATAAATAACCGGGATCAATACCCTTTACGTGCTTTCTCGCTCCGTCCATCATGTTGAATTAGTGTTTATTGCCGCCGACCAAAATAATTCCCAGCATGCAACACGCACTTTTGTCAACAATGAAACTTGCCTATAGCAATCTTGCTATAACCTAGTACAAGCATATGACTTATGTAGTTCAATATTTTTATGTGCATTATGTGTTTCTGATAAATAAACAAATAAGCTAAACTAAACTGAGAAAATTATTTTAGTGTATCTTTGAACGATGGATGTGTTATTAAAGGTCATATATTACACAAAATGAACTTGTGATGTCATGAGTTTTCTAGTTAGCAGCTCCTTTTACCTTTAGTTCAGTAGAGATTTGCATTTCCAGGGTTGGAATTATCCAAATGATTCTAGTGAAGGTTGTGTGGACTTTAAAACACAGTGGAGCACTTCCTGTATTACAGTATGACATCACAAGGAGGGTTTTTAGATTGAGAGAAGTCAGCCTACGCAGCCTTTATTAGAATCATCTGGATTATTTCATGCTTAGAATTACCAATCGCTACTGAAATCCTGGAAATCCTGGAAAAGTCCTGGAAATATGAAAATGTCATTTTCCAGGCTTGGAAAAGTCATGAATTTTGTAAATTCAATGAAAGTTTTGAAAAACTCATGGAATTTTAGTATCTCTTTCACCAACTATAGCGTTCTATTAAGTTCTCATGAGACTATTCGGATTATTTCTGAACATCTGCGTCTTTAGTTTAAAAGAGACGACAATAAATACACTGACAGGATTTTGAATGTTAAAAAACTATAATCCCAAACTATAAGGTGAGTGGAACAGGTTAACATTTCATATTTAGCCCTAAAAGTCTGATCAGTTCTACACATGTAGGTGCTGTAAAGTCATGGAAAATTCACTTTAGGTTATAAAAAAGTCATGGAAAAATTTAGAAATTTTGTCAGTAAATAAGAGCAGGAACCCCATAAAAGGAGCAGTTAACTTCAAAAATACCGCTTCATGATATCACAAGGTGGAACAGAATTTTGAGCTTTGGGGATGTAGATGGACTAATAATAAAGGAAAACACAACTCTGTCACCTACTTATTATTACTTACTTACTTATTTTTATTATTCCACATATCCTACTTATTCTATTACCGGCTTATATTTCAGATCTGTGCAGCTCCAGGGCCACATACAGCCCTTTGGTTCTTTGAAATAATCTGGAATTACAAAATAAATATGTTATGTCATGGAAAAAGAATTGCTCACCCCTGTTATATCTTCTATGTCATTGCTCTGCCTGGAATGTTCCACAATATGATAAACAGCTCTAATATAAACTTATTCAATTACAGTGGTTTTATTGCTCAAAAAAACAACATTCTAACTGTGAGCGGGGTCGCCTCTCCACAGATCTGACCCTGGTCTGGTTTGGTCTCTGTAAAGACAGAAAGGTTTAACTTCATACTGTGAAACATTCCAGACAAACAATAACATCTCTGTGGAGAAAAGCATTTAATGGACCCTCCATCAGAAAAGTTACACAATGCACCTTTAACTCAGTGTGTGTTCTTGTGTGTTCCAGGGTACATCGAGGAGGCGTGCATCATCCCGTGCCCCTCGGACTGTAAACTGAGCGAGTGGTCAAACTGGTCTCGCTGCAGTAAGTCGTGCGGCAGCGGGGTCAAAGTTCGCTCCAAGTGGCTCCGAGAAAAACCTTACAATGGAGGAAGACCCTGCCCCAAACTGGACCACATCAACCAGGTACGGGACCACTCAGACGCCTCTCTGCATGGAGATGTTCCCTGGAATGTTCCACAGTATGACATTATAGTATTCATCTCTACGGACACAGAGGGTAACGCCACAGAGCCAAGTTTCTAACTCAATAAAACCTATGTTATTGAGTAAATGCAAGATGGATACGTTTAATGACATACTGGGACATTCCAGACAAAGCAACAACATCTCCATGGAGACAAGCTGCTAGCAAGAAAAGTTGCACAGTGCAGCTTTAAAAGGTCCATATTACCCTATTTTCTGATCTATTTTATGTTGTTTCCTCATCACAAACAGACCTGGAGTTGTGTTTTGTTTTGTTTGGGTGTTTAACACACACAATATTCAGATGGAATTCTTCTCCCAAACTTAAAACACTCTGTTCCGCCTTGTGCTCCACTGTGTTTTTAAACTCTGTGCAACTTCACTAAAATCATTTGGATGATATCAGCCATCAGGGTCAGACTGGGACCAAAAACAGCCCTGCTGGACTTTTTCCCAACAAATTGAGGACTGGAAGGGCCCAGATGTGGTCTGAAGTGGACCAGCCCATCTGGCATTTTCCCGGTAGTACAGATCACTAGTCTGAGCCTTTCAGCCAACTAAAGAAATGTGGATAAAGGGAGTGTGACATCACCCATAACATGCAGCTTCAGCCAAATGAAGCTCACAGAGGCTGGTCTATGTAGAGGCTAATTTGGAGCTGAGTTCCATCATAAGAAGAGACAAAACAGAGAAATAAAAGCACCAGGAGAGGGTTAGTAAGGACATTTTAAGGCCACAATGTTGTGAGAGACCTTTTCTTCTATATAAAGTGAATTAGGACCCAGAGAGCCAAAAGCACTTCCATGCTCATTTCTATTCACAATATGGTGCCTAGCTGGTTAGATATGTCCATTTATATATACCGTCTATAATTTCAGACCTGGAATTGCCAATCTCTGCTAAACTGAAAGTAGGTCTTAACTTGAAAACTACCACTTCATGACATCACAAGGTGGAACAGAGCATTTTGAGCTTGGAGCTGTAGACAGACTCATAATAAAGGATTACTCAAACATGTATGAATGAAACAAAACACAACTCCAGGTCTGTTTTTGGTGAAGAACAACATTCTAACATAGTTTAAAGCTCACAAGAGTACATTTTGCCTAATATAAGACCTTTAAATGCAGTTAGTCGGTAAAATCATTTGCCCACTAGTTCAATTCCTCATCTAAAGCATCTAGATGAATGTTCAGACTCAAATATATTTTTCTAACTTTCAAGAAATATTTTTTGTGTGAAAGTAAAAGTTTAATTTTAGTCCGTGGCATTTTATCAGCTGAGTTTTTGCTGAGTACCTCTTGAACTAAAGTCGAGTCTTTAAAGGCCAAGCACCTTAATCACTGTAAAAAAAAATAGCAGCTTGGTTCACAAAGTTTATGCAGCTTCTCCATGTACTTTTTTTTTTTTTTTTTTTTTTTTTTTTTTACAAGGGACACTGAAATACTGTAACATTTAACAGGTCCATATTAAACTATTTTATGATCTATGTTAAATGTTTTATACAGAGCTGGAGCTGTGTTCTGTTTCATTCACACATGTTTAACACACAAATCCTGTATATTTATGTTCTTCTCTCAAATGGAAAACATGCTGTCCCACCTTGTGATGTCATGTGGTAATACAGGAAGTGCTCCACTGTGTTTGTAAACTCTATACACCTCACTTTGTTATTTTCAGCCCTGCCAATCCCATTAAGAAAAGGTAAAAGGCAGGCATTTTGGTAACACTTCATAATAACTACACCTTATTTAGCCTTAATAAAGCATGAACAAAGACTTAATTAATAATGATTCACACTTAGTAACGACTTAATTAGTACCTGAATTGGCACTTAACTTGAACTTAATTCGCCTGTGCTGTAAATAGTTACTCAATACTTCTTAATTACTCATGAACTAACCATTTTCATGTTTACAAATGTATAAGTCATATGTATTAAGTACACATTTGAGCATTTATTAATGATTAATAAGCTATGAGAGAATGATTTACTTATAATGTAATGCAATGATCATTCAGGCAGCTGTTATCTGTTAGTTAAGTCTTTCTGAGAGCTTTTCTAAAGTGAAGACTAATTATGCTTTATTAAGCATTTGTTAAGGTTGGTCAAATTCCAGAGAAACAATAATGCATTACTAGTAAATATACATTTACAAATGCACACACAAATGGTTAGTTCATGAGTAATTAAGTAAGAAATACTTATGAGTAACTATTTACAGCACAGGCGAATTAAGTGCAAGTTAAGTGCTAATTCAGGTAGTAATTAAGTAGTTACTAAGCGTGAATCATTATTAATTAAGTCTTTGTTCATGCTTTATTAAGGCTAAATAAGGTGTAGTTATTATAAAGTGTTACCGGCATTTTAATTAGCAAACTACACTTCCTGTGTTACATGTAGAGCTGCTCGGTTATGGAAAAAATTATTACGATTATTTTGGTCAATAGTGAAATCACGATTATTCAAATGATAATTTTTTAGTTATATGATGCATTTATTCAGCATTTAATAATAATAATAATAATAATAATAATAATAATAATAATAATTTACGCAAAGCTTTCAAATTGAAAATAAATATTGGTTACATATATGAACCTTACAACAGTTTTGCGATGTATAAAACATAAAATGAATAAAATATACTTTGATACTTTGAATACGCCATAGAAAAACATAAATATATCCAAAATAAATATATATCCAGCTGTTCTACAATCTCTATATTTAAAAATAAAAATAAAAATACTTATTTATATATAAAAAATATCCCCAAATAAACTCTCGATTATATGTTTGGAGATCATTTGACACACAAATCGAAATTGAGATCAAAATTTAATTAATTGCACAGACTTAGTTACATGTGTATATTTTTCTTCTATTAAAGGTCCTATATTACACAAAATTGACTCTTGTAACCTTTTAACCAAGTTAGAATGTTGTTATACAGCTCAAAATGCTCTGTTCCACCCTGTGATGTCATCTAGTGGTAGTTTTCAAGTTAACAGCTACTCTTTATATTTAATTCAGTAGAGATTGGAAATTCCAGGTCTGAAACTATCCAGTAATTCTAGTGAAGGTGTATGGAGTTTAAAAACACAGTAGAGCACTTCCTGTATCACCACATGACATCACGAGGAGGAACAGAGTGTTTTCAGTCTGAGAGAAGAACTGTTGTATGTGAACGAAACAAAACATAACTCCAGGTCTGTTTGTGAGGAGGAAATTCATTCTAACACAGATCAAAAAATGGCGTAACACGTGCCCTTTAATATCTCCATCTTAACATAAAAAAAACATATATTTATTCATAAAAAAGGTTAATGTAGTGGAAAATCATAAGGACTCCATTCAGTATCCATGACAACTGCACTTGTTTCGTTCTTTAATGTCATCTAATTATCTCCACTTTTCTGTTTTTACTGATGTTAAGTGGTTTTGGTGCCCTTTTTCATGCAACTATGTCGACAGCTCTATATTAAAAACTGTCAAATCTGTATCATAATAAAACTTCTACTCTGCACACACTGTCATATTAAACTCTTAATGTGGGAACTTAAAGGTTACAATGTTTTTATCTCATCAGAAACAGACCTGGAATGTGTTTTGTTTTGTTTCATTCACACAGGTTTGATTAATCCTTTATTATTAGAGCTCAAAATGCTCTGTTCAGCCTAGTGATGTCATGAAGTGGTCATTTTTAAGTTAACAGCAACCGTTTACATTGTGTTTAGTCGAGTGTGGAAATTCCAGAGCTGAAATTATTCAAATGAGTGGAGCGTTGAAGCAGTTCCTGTATTACCACATGACATCACAAGGTGGAACTGGGTGTTTTCTGTTTGAGAGAAGAACTCAGCCTAAATCTGCAGGGTTTGGGTGAACGTGTGAATGAAACAAAACACAACTCCAAAATCCGTGTATCATTTTTTCTGTCAATGTGTGTGTCAGTGCTGTCAATCAAACCCATTATTAACATTATCTGGAGCCGACCATCGGGAAAGAAGGCACCTGATCGTACTTTTATTGTGGTTCATATCACGATTTAGGGACAAAATTGCAAAATAAAAACACCAGAATCATGTTCAAGGCTCACAGCAGTCCATGGATCCAACTTACAACCATGCTCACTTCTTGTTTTGACAATCTAGCAGGTCAGCGATGTGCAACTATGGTGTTAACTCCCTTCAAAAAAGAGCTTTGTTTTGGATCTTATTCCACACTTTGCTCTATCTTCTATTCAAATTAAGTATTCTGCAAATGGAGTCTTGACTTTTGAACTGAACTGAACTGAATTTTATTTTATTTTCAAATGCTTTTCTATCTGCATTGTCTCACCTTTTTATATCTTTTTCCTTTCTTCCTCCCTTACTGCTTCCTGGATACATCATGTGACCCAGGCTCAGGTAAGAACGGCACAGATGATGAAGTCCTGATAGTTGTGGGTTACAGGTTCTGTTCTGACCCTGGTCTCTGGTGGTCTTCTCTTCAGGTGTACGAGATGGTGCCGTGCCAGAGTGACTGTGGGCAGTACGTGTGGGTGGCTGAGCCCTGGAGCGTGTGGAAGGTCAGCAACGTGGACCTGAAGGAGAACTGTGGAGAGGGGGTCCAGACCAGGAAAGTCCGGTAAGTCCACCAGAGCTTTTTATGATCAGATGGTCTGATGTGGGTTTATAGACATGCTACAGCAAGGACAACACATATCAGACACTATCGCATTTACTGAAGGAACACTTTGATTTTATGCTCCCCCCTAGTCCTCCAAACCCTCCTTACTCTCCCCTTTAGTCCTTCAGATCCTCCTCACTCTCCCCTTTAGTCATCCCGACCCTTCTCACTCTCCCCTTTACTCCTCCAGACCATTTTCACTCACCCTGTAGTCCTTCAGACCCTTCTCACTCTGGCCTTTAGACCTCCAGACCCTCCTCACATTCCCCTTTAGTCCTCCAGACCCTTCTCACTAGCCCCTTTAGACCTCCAGACTCTTGTCAATCTCCCCTTACGTCCTCCAGACCCTCCTCACATTCCCCTTTAGTCCTCCAGAACCTTCTCACTAGCCCCTTTAGACCTCCAGAGTCTTGTCAATCTCCCCTTACGTCCTCCAAACCCTTCTCACACTCCCCTTTAGTCCCCCAGACTCTTCTCACTTTTACCTTTAGTCCTTCAAACCCTCCTCACACTCCCGTTTAATCCTCCAGACTCTCCTCATTCTCCCCTTTAGACCTCCAGACCTTCTTCACTCTTCCCTTTAGTCCCCCAGACCCTCCTCACTCTCCCATTTAGTCCTCCAGACCCTTCTCACTTTCCCCTTTAGTCCCCCATATTCTCCTGACTCTCCCCTTTAGTCCTCCAGACCCTTCTCACTCTCCCCTTTAATCTTCCAGACCCTCATCACTCGCCCCTTTAATCTTCCAGACCCTCCTCACTCTCCCCTTTAGTCCTCCAGACCCTCATCACTGTCCCCTTTAGTCCTCCAGACCCTTATAACTCTCCCCTTTAATCTTCCAGACCCTCACTGTCCCCTTTAGTCCTCCAGACCCTTATAACTCTCCCCTTTAATCTTCCAGACCCTCCTCACTCTCCCCTTTAGTCCTCCAGACCCTCATCACTCTCCCCTTTAATCTTCCAGACCCTTCTCACTCTCCCCTTTAGTCCCCCAGACCTTCTTCACTCCCTTTTAGTCCTCCAGACCCTTCTCATTATCATCTTTAGTCCTCCAGACCTTCTTCACTCTCCCTTTTGGTCCTCTAGACCCCACCCTTTCACTCTCCTCTTTAGTCCTCCACACCCCGCCCCTCCTCTCTCATCACTCTTCCTTTTAGTCTTACAAGCTCGCACCCTAAATCTCCCTTTAAGTTCTCCTGACTCCTCTGCTCTTCCTCCCTCTCATTTTCCCCTTTAGTCCTCTAAGACCCACCCCTTTAGTCCTTTAGGCCCCGCCTCTTAAAGGCTTTGAGTTGTTGGATATGATTAGATTTGCATTATGATTACTTTTTAACATTCACATCTGGGAGTTTATATGTTCTTGCAGTCTATTTTTTATTTTATTTTATTTTGTTTTACCATCTCTGACCATTTCGGACCTTCTCGTCATCTTCAGGTGCATGCTGAACACCATCGACGGGCCCTCGGAGGCAGTGGACGACTACCTGTGCGACCCGGAGGAGATGCCGCTGGGGGCCAGAGAGAGCCGGCTGCCCTGCCCCGAAGACTGTGTGCTCAACGACTGGGGCCCCTGGAGCCAGTGCAGCCTGGTGAGGGACCCCTGACACTGCACACACCTACAGACACACACAAACCACAAACCACAAACCACAAACCACAAACCAGCCCAGTGTTCAGATCACACAAGGAGACATGTACTGGGCTGTGCTGATAATATGCAGCTGATTCATCAACATTCCCTGCGGTGTGATGCTAACTGTAGGCTCTGCTCTGTCTAAACCTTTGTTATTAGTTAGACTTCACCCACACTCAGTTTTGTGTTGTGATAGCGCTCTGAAGGGGGAGTGGGAGCAGGGAGTAACAGGAGGGGGGACTCTAACAGGTGACATGGCGATCTAAATGTATTTTTGTGTTAGCAGTCAATACTAGGGATGGGCATGATTAGTCGATTAATCGATAATTGATCATTAACGAATTTCATCGATTACGTAAATTTTAATCGACAAACCGAATGCAGGTTGCTGTGTGTAGCGTGACCAAACGGGGGTCCGTACATGTGTCTCTCTGCACTCAGAAGGAGCGAGCAAACACAAACAGTCAGTCCACCTGCAACGTACCGAAGTGCATATGCGTATTTAACGATGACTTGTACAAGAAATTCCACACTTTCAGTTGCATTCGGGACAAGTGTGAGTCCATGTGCACAGTGTATAAAGCAGCACATATGTTTCGGTGTCCAGTGGGAAAAAGTTTTACCAGGTGAGAGTCGCGCAATGTCGATGACGAGTCTCCACCTCCCTCCCCCCGTACGGTGTCCTGGTTTTGACAAACACAAATCTGGTCACACTAACCTGTATTCCACTGAGTTAATCCGACAGAAGTTGAACCACATCAGCGACACAAGAGCTGTAGTTTTATCTTCGCTTAGTTTATGCAAATTAGCGATGCGGTTTTAAGTTTTGTTTCTGTGAGAGTTGAACAAAACTGAATTAAACACATTATAATGTCAAACGGGCTGATGTGGCTCTAGAGTCGTTTCGGTTTATTTGTCGTAAAGTTGAATTTATTTATGCAGATTAGTAGTGCAGATAGTAATAATAATGATGATCCTTTTAATATAAAAACGTTAATGATTAATCGATAATCGATCGTTAATTCTCTCGACGATCGATTAAGAAAATTTCATCAAATGCCCATCCCTAGTTAATACCCTACTGATATTTTGCAGCTGATGTTATCAATGTTTCTTGAGGAAATCAAACTCTTAAACAGGACCATGAACGCTTTTATTGATCACAGGCTCCTGAAAATGTCCTGTTTAAATCCAGTTAGACTTCAATCTGAGTTTTCTTTTAACACAGTCTGACCAGAAAGAACTGGTTTAGTTGGAACTACAACAGATTAGCTGATGTTAAACAAGATTACAAAATTACAGTCACAAGTAAGGTAGCTAACATGAGCCAACAGTTTTTAAGAAAGTAAGTAAGTCACTCTCACCTTTTTATTGAAAACTCCTAAACAGGACCATTTTGTGTTTCCCTTAATATGCAAGGAGTTTGACATCATTTCGCAGGCTAATAATTTGGCAATTGATTTGGCAGTTGAAATAACCAATATTTTTTTGCAGAATGTATAGAAACAAGTCAAGATTTTATATTGAATGTTTTATTTTTGTTCTGTTTTCAGGTTGAGCCAGGTTGAGGTTCACTTCCAAAGAGAAGTCATTTTGCGTCTTGGAAAATGCTTGCACACATATGTAAGACTGCACAGTGTTGGGTGAGTGTGTGCGAACATATTCCAAAACGCAGAATGACTTCACTTCGGGAGTGAACGGCCCAACCTGAAAACAGAACAAAAACGAGCGCAATCAGAGATAGCAACCTGGTCCCCCATGAGCTATTGGTGGGGGCTTGTGTGATGATTGGGGGAATATTTTAGGCCGCAGATGGTTCAGAAATTGCAGAAATTGTCTATCCTTTATAGAATGACCAGAGGAGCAGTGAGGGAAGACTGCATTATTCCTCATAGAAAAACTGGATTTGGTCAGTGTGTTTTCTCTTTCGCCATCAGTGGAACTCTGTGCCTGAAGCCATCAGAACATCTCCCTCATTCTCTGCTTTTAAAAAGAGGCTTTTAGAAACGCAAATGTGTGAACACTAAAACTTTTATTGTATTTTTGCAATCTTATTGTACATTTGTGTAATTTTTGATGGGTAAGTTTTAAGTGTATTTTCTTTTAGGATGCCTTTTTGACATCTGGCAAAGGGACTACCGATGCAAATTAGCTCTTATCAGCGAACTGGGGCACATTTACATTGCTCTGATGTTGATTAATGTGCATTGTCCCTTTTCATATATATAAATAAATACAATTAATTTGAGAAAAGCTTAATATACTAGACCGCCCTGTTAGTGGCGCATTGCATACGTCACGACCAAATAGCAGCGATTGGTTAAATGATAAAAAGTACCTGCCTACCATCGAGCGAACAAATTCTAACACTGCCAGGTCAGACGGTTTCTACGAAGTGAAACCGTCTGATGAATCTGGCTAGTGTGCAGGTGCAGGACCAACAAGGCCAGATAAAACAGAAATAATAAAAGTCCACACACCGTTTCAAAGCTTCCAACATGAAATTTATTAGCACAAATTTTTGGGACAGCCTGTATGTGTGGATGTAGCCCCCAAACAGACGATCCTGCACTGGGCCCCGTTTATGCCGTTACCGGCCCTGTGTTTTTGACCGCAGACTCCCCTCTCCCCCCTCCGCTCTGTCTCTCCACACTTCAGCGACCCTTCTGAGATGTTCCTCAGCTCTTTCTCCTGTCATCCGTGCTCTGCTCAGAATTCACTGTGGAGATGGAGTGGAGATAATAAATGTGCCACGAGGAAACGGATGGGCCAAAATACACTCCATTACATGTGAATCACAGTCTCCACGGAGCAGAAGAGAAGACAAAATCCAACTTTATCCTCTGCTTAGGCTCCATTTTAAATTCAACAACACAATACAAAAAAGGAAATAAAAGGTGTACTATGGAAGATAATTCGTTTCATCAGATTTTGAATTTTAAATACCACTGAATTTCTCACTTTGGATTTTTTAACTCTGAAAAAAGATGTTTGATTTATTTTTATTCTGAATTTTAATTGCTGAAATTTGAAGTTTACGTGTGTGTACTGTTTTAAATTCAAAATAAAAAAATTCACCACAGATATTTTCAAGTCCTCAAATTCAACAGTCAAAGTTCAGAATGTAAAATTCGCAGTGAAAAAAAAATCACAGTAAAGATCCAAGATGCCAAGGCAGAAGCAATCGATCCAAAGTGATCCGATCTAACTTAGTAACCAACAGGAAACAAACAGGAGGTGCAGTGAAGCGATCTGATTGGTCAGAATTAGCCTCATTGGAACCTCATCTCAATGATTTCTTAAGTGTAAACCCCGCCCACAGATGAGAACAGCCAATAGGAAACAGCCTCTGTCCTCCTCACTCACATGATCGATTGCTTCTGCCTTGGCTGTGTAATTTTTCACTGCGAATTTTACATTCTGAAATTTGACTGTTGAATTTGAGGGCTTGAAAATATCTGTGGTGATTTTTTTTTTTTTTTAAATATAGTACACACAAGTAAACTTCAAATTTCAGCAACTAAAATTCTGAATAAAAATAATTCAAACATCTTTTTTCAGAGTTAAAAAATTCAAAGTGAGAAATTCAGTGGTATTTAAAATTCTAAATCTGATGGAACAAATTATCTTCCATATGAACTGTGTTAACTTTTCTGGTTGCAGGTACAATACCCGCTTGTTCTCCATGGAGATGTCATAGCTTTGCCTGAAATGTCCCAGAATGGCATAAAACGTCTTTGTAAAGCACTGATTCAGTTACAGGAGTTTCTATTGTAATACTTCGAGAAACATGCATTCTTGAGTGGGGTCGCCTCTCCGCAGATCTGACCTGTAACTTGGCGTTAACATCTCCATGGAGACAAGCAGGTGGCTCACCAGAAAAGTTACAGAGTCCGTCTTTAAATGCAAATCGAGACAAAATTGTAGCATCTAAAAAAGTATTTGTAAAAAAGGAAAGAAAACAAAAATGGGTGACGTGTCTTGCTCATAGACACAACAACCTTTTCCTCATACCTTGGAGTGTTTTATTTTTATTTAGGAATAGTTTAAACCAGTGTAAACCACAATACACTTATGAAAATGTTAAATCCAGTGCAGAAGATGTGATGAGTTGCAATGAATAACAAAACTTAAAGAGGAGGTATTTTGGGGCTACCATATGTCATGTTTGAGTAATCTAGAGATCTCACTCATGCTCTATTCCCCTTCTTACAGTTAACAGTAGGATTCTGTTCAAGACTCCGCCCACAAACTGACATCACCCACACTCCCACACAGCAATTTTCCATAAATATACAAAAACATGATACAAAACTGTTGACTACAACTTCACAAACCTGATGCAATGTGCAGTAGTTTCATTAGCAGGATGCACGCTGATTGTGTTGTGATAGAACTCTGCAGGGGGAGTGACTTAGCATGGGAAGCAAAGGGAGGGGGGACTGTAAAAGATTAATACTTCAAATGAAAAGAGAAAAGGCAAACCAAAGTTCTTGTAGAGATGCAAATGCAAGGAACAGTCAGATAAAAGTGAAAAAATGCATAGCACACTCAGATGGCCAATGTCCAAAAGATTTTATAATTTATTTATTTTTTAAATAATGTTTCAGCCAAAAACCCTTCATCAGATATTTTCCTTGCTTTGGATCCTATCATACTGTGATCCAAAGCAAGATCTGACTAAGGCTTTTTTGCCAAAACATTATTTAAAAAAAAAAGCTTTTGGACATTTTTTCGCTTTTAACACTCATTAATTTTCCCTGTGTGATGCTAACTGTAGGCATGCTCTCTTTGAGGCTTTGTTACACTTGAAATAGAACTTTATTTTAATTTAATTTGGCCAGAAAGAGCTGATTTAGTTAGAACTACAACAGGCGAACTGATTTGTGCACTTAAACAAGTCCCTCTTAAATAGGGTGACCAGACGTCCCTTTTTACCCGGGACAGTCCCACTTT